AGGTGGCTTCTGAACTGTGAATCATAAACATTCACACCTTTCTCCAATCCAGGTAAGAAGCAAGATGCAAATCCTGTGACTTTCAAGGAGAGACATTTAGCTGAGACATTATTATTCCTCGAGCTTGAGAGTAATCACTAGCTCTTCAGTCAGCAACTGAAGGAGAATTTGAAACAAATTTTAGCAGCAGATTTCACTTTTTTTTTTTTTTTTAACTAGTCAGGAGCATAATATTACAGATTAGCAATTCTTGCTCCATAGAACTAGAGGTAAGAAAATGAACACAGTCAGTCAGTCTTTAATGTCAAATGATGTATAGGATAAGACCAGCACGTGTCACATTAGGAATGGGGGCCCAGTGTTTGTAATGACTTTGCATAAACTCTGTACTTATTTTTTAAACTGGCCTCAGTACTCAGGAATTTACCCATGGGACTTCTCCCTTACCTAGCTGGTACAGTGCATCATTTAGATTCCACATTTAAATTACAGTATGTGTGTTCCAGTACTTGAGCAGCATATCTGTGACCACTTATTAGGTTGCAGCCTATGACTAATTAATGATAACAGCAGTAAATTTATCAGGAATTTAAATAGTTTTAGGAAATTAGAGATCTGAATGCTTGTCCTTAGCTTTGGATTATGAGTGGCTCCTCCATTACATGCTTGTTTTTTGTATTTGGGCATTAGCAAGAATCAGTAGCTTTTTTTAAGAATGAAAGAAACCACAACTTGAATTCCCTCAGAACACTGGTAATCTTTCCTTATGTCTGCTGAGTTTTAATGCATTATTTTAAAATTAAATAGAACTTGCTGGCTTATTTTACATCTCTAAAAAGTTCTGTGGCAGATTCCAGCTTGCACACAGCTGAAAAACAAATTGTGTATATGCACATACACATCTGTCTGCTTGTTTATATATGTATACACATATATATGTATGTATATGTATTTTTATATATATATATATATAGTTGGAAAGACTGACAAATATGGTTCCTTCTGTTAATCCTACCATCTTTTATTTTGGTAATTATTTAAAGTAATGTGTACAGGGACAGAAAAGCAATGGCAGGTACTAGGATTTAGGAATGCATATCCGTACCATAGTTTATGATTGGGAAAACCCTGTCAGGTTATTCTAAGAAAATCTCTAGGCACCTTAAACAGAAAATGTGTAGTTTTAAATAGCACAGCATAGATCTGAAAAAGGTCTGAAGACAGCACAAGTCAGATCATGGCGTTGTCATAGCAACAGACATTGAAATTCAAAATATGAAGTACAAAATGGGGGTGGGAGAAAAAGAAGGGTAGAGAAAAGAAAAATAGCAAGTAATAATGAAAATCTGTAAAAAGAATATGAAAATTAGTCTTCTATAACCAAATATAGAATAACTTAACTATTCTTACTCTGCAAATTATTATTTGCATTTTTTAATCTTTTCCATACATCAATTTGAAAATGTGTTATAAACAATCTATGCCTTCTAACATCCCTCAAGGAAAGTATTGACGTTGTCATTTATAGATAGACATACTGAAGCAGAAAACGCTTTGCATAAGTAAAATGTCTATGGCAGGGTTGAAAAAAGAGTTCATCTGTTTGCTCAGCTTTATACTCACATGCTCTTTGTTTCATTGCTTTAACATGCCTGAGTCTTATGATGCTATTATCTAGATACGTAAGACAAGAACCAGAGTAATTTTCATAATAGTGGTAGTAACACTATTCTGATTCTGACACAAAAGCTCCAGTGTTTTAATACACAGTTTGTGTAACTATTTAAACTTTTTGCTGTATTTCTTTACAATAATAGTGATAGTAAATAGGGAAAGAATGAGTAAAATGGTAATCTGCTTTTTTTTTTTCCAAAGATGTACACTAGTTTAAAAAAGATACTCATTTATGCCTAACTCATCAAGGAACTGCAGCAAATCTAGCTCAACAGGAAGGAATTGATCAGCCCTTGTTGGGGATCGGGGAACCATATTGGTGGTCAAAAGCCTGAGATTACTGGGGAATTTTTTCTCAATTTATTACTTGTATCCCTCACAGATATCTCTTTGCAACTTTTTATTCTGACTATATCTCTATAATAACTTCTCTGTATTACTGACTTGTTGTTGTGGTTTGATCCTGGTCAGCAGCTAAACGCCCCACAGCCGCTCACCCACCCTCCCCCCACTTGGGAATGGGGAGGGAATCGGAGGGGCAAAGGGAGACTCACGGGTTGAGATAAAAACAGTTTAAAAACAGTGACAGAACAATACACTGACAGCAGTATCAGGAGGTAATGTAGAATACAGCTGCTCACCACCCACCGACCAACACCCACCTGCTCCCGGCTGGCGATGCTCAACACCAAGGCCCCACAACCACACTCCCAGAAGTGAGAGCCCCTCCCAGCCCTCTCCTGCCTTTATATAGTGAGCACAATGTCACATGACATGGACTATCGGCCAATCGGGGCCCAGCCCTCCAGCTGTGCTCCCCCCACCCCCGCACACCGGTGAGGGCACTGGGACCTGGGGAGCCCCTGGGGTCTCAGGGGGCTGCAGCTCCTCCCGCTGCCAGACCAACGGGAACTCTAGGCCAGCCCCAACCAGGACAGTTGTACATAATATAATTCTTTATTATATCCAGGAGATTTTTTTTTAGGTTGGATTTTGCAGTGACTCACATTTTACTTTAGCATTTTGAAGGAGTGATAACGAAGAACTTCCCTCTCTCTTTCCTACATTTATATTTCCTCTCCAGGCATGTAATTTAATTTAAAGTTGTTATCATTCTCAAAGTAATTTAATGCTACAGTATCTGTCCTCTAAGAATAACTTTATGGTTTTTCAACATGAGTATCAGCAGTATAAAGCAGGTAAGTTGCATGTCACATCCAGGAATTTTAGGCAGTGAAACATGCACAAAATAATTAGACAAAGGTACAAAAGAAGCATTTAGAAATATGAAAATGTGCTTACTGAATTATAGACTGGCAGTGTACCAAAAGAGTTGCAACAAACAGTAGAACAAAAAGAAAAGGATTCTTGAAACCTAGACGTTAATCAAATAGAACAAGAGTTTTACTATTCAAGGAGCAAATCCTCTGATATTTCTAGGGTCACAATGATGGGCAATGTATTATGATAGAAAGATTGAAAATTCTCTGGTATTTGGGAAGCCAGAAGAAAATAAATCATGAACTTACAGAAGATGAGATGTGAAAAGACAGACCCAGGATACTAAACTGAATTTTTCACATACTTTTACTAGACTGCTGCTATTGTTTCAGCCAGCCGAGCTATTAACTGATCTGCCTGGTAGCTGTTGAGGTGCTGCACCACAGAACTCGGCACGTGTCCAGGTGCTTGCTGAATTTCTTGGGAGGCAATTTCACAATAAGGTCTGAAACAACACTTCAGTGCCACCATTGTCCAAAACAGCTGGTTTAAAGTACTGATGCTAATCATCTTTGGTTTAGCATATAGATTTAATGTGCAGGATTTAACATATAGGAGGAAAGGGGATAGGCTGGAAGAAAGTATGTCCAGGGATTGACAGAATGTGCTGAAGCAAAAGCATGTTCAATTTCCTGATTCTTTTTGTCTCCTTTGAGTACTTTTAGGACTCAGCCTCTCCACTTCTGGAGTTAAACAGTGTTGCCTGGGCCAGGCCAGGTAGGAATGGGACAGAGGAAAACACATATGGTGCTGAGCAGAGGAATGTGTGCAGAACCGGAAGACTGGTGTAGGGAAGAGAGGAAAGGATTAGCATCTGCATCCTGGTAGAAACAAGTTGTAAATTTGGCTTTTAATTAGAAGTGCTAATAGGTTTAAAGCTTTTCATATTCAATTAATAAGTGCACTTTCCAACTAAAATTTACAATTTGATTTTCAAAATAGTTTGTATATGCCTACACTATACTGCAGTGACTACGGTATAGGGCTACCTTCTTTTCACCTTTATTTAACAAATATCTAAAAGCTTTGGAAAAAATTACCCCAAAAATTAACAATGAATTATTTCTTCCTCAAAAGTCAAGCAGGTTCTTCAGTAAAGTTTAAAAAAATTCTAGTCAGAAAACTAATGAGGAGAGATTTTTCTACTTTCATACTACTGTCTACCAGTTTTCATCAGGTTCAAGGGTTGCAAGGCCAGCTAAATTACCAAACTGGAGATATACTCATAAAAGCTCTTCTTTAGGCATGTGTGCAGCTTGACTGACAAGACATATGCCCAATAAAATAGGTTATATTTGAACATAGCTGAACAAGGACTGAATCAGGCCATTTGCACCTGCATTTGTCATAAAACCTTGTAATTGATGATTTCTTATACTGAATTCAGTTTTGCATCTAAATTGATTTTTATCCCAAATATAACATTGTTGAAATTATCCAAATGTAAAGTTGGATGTAATACCTTCGTTTAGTGCAAAATGAGGGGACTGAATTTTGCAAGAAGTATAAAGACTAAGTATAATCTATGCAATGATTTTTTCAGTATTGATACATAGAATCAAACATTTCTAATTTGCTATCCTACTATGAACATTTCTGCTTACTTCAGTATTTCAACAGTTAACTATGGAAGCATTTAGAAACATAGTGCTTGTGTTTATGATAAAGTATTATTTCTCTAATATTTCCCTACAGAACATTTACCTATCAGGTAGACACAGAATGACAAGGTACATATGTTTTAAGTTTAACACTGAAACAGATCAAATAGTAACTCCAGTTACTGTAAAATCAGTTGTACCAAATACAGAAGTATAAAATGGTAGAGAGTGAAGGAAATGTGTCTTACTGACTACCAAAGATAAGATCTATGCAGAGTAGTATTAGCTTCCTAAACTCAAGAAGTTCAAAGGACTTCTGCAAATACCTGTATTTATTAAAAGTATAAAAAACCATACTGCTAAATGATTACTATATTGTAAAAAAATTTAAAAAAAACAACCAACCAACCAAACAAACAAACAAAACCACACACACACACTTACATGCAACATTCCTCCAAGCTTTGATGTATAACCTCGTGGTCGTTTTTTATCTTTAAATCTGAATGCCACAGCATTTAGATCCTAAGAAGCAAGGTAGGAAGGGTTGAAAAGCATGTATTAGAGATGATTTTAAGAATAATTATTGACTACTTAGTTTCTTTTTATAACATAAGAAAAGGAAGGAGTTTCATTGTAGTCATTTTATAGTAGTTAGACAGGTCCCTAACAAAAGTTATCAGTAATATTCAAGTTGCGCAAAACTGAAGCAATTTCAGAGTTCACAATATGAAGTGTTACACAAGTCTTCCAAGTCCTGTTTGTAGCAAGAGATTTGTCCCATAGCTCATATATTTAAATTTGCTGATAATTTGAAAACATACCAACTTTGATACAACCAATGCATAGTGTTCCAGTGCAATGTTCGTTGTATGTTAATGAATTCAAGCCTCTCCCTCTTCCTTTTTTTGTTCCTTATGTTCAGCCAGACAAAAGGTAGGTTTAGAGACATAAAAAGTCTGCTTCTTTGTGCTGTCTTAGCTACAGAGATAGAACATATCATTCTTAGAATACAATGGCAAGGGTGAATTAAAGAGATCTAAGACTGTAAAGACAATGGAAGGGACAGTCCATCCTTCTGTGAAACCAGGCAGAGGGTCTGGTTAATTCAACAGTTCAGCTGAAAATAAAATCAAAAGAGTTTTTCTTTTCCAGCTAATTTGCCAGCTCTTCTGACTCACCTCACAGCCTCAGGAGTGCTGGGTCTGATACAAAAAGAGCAAGGGAAAGACAGAGGGATGAGATAGGAGGATGGAACTACCTCTTTCAAATCTTGTATCTGCTTACAATACCAGTGAAACACTTTCATTGGCTTTTAGCAGTGGGTAAAAAGACCAGTTCTACAGATATACTGTGTCAAAATGCAAGAAACAAAGTTAATGCACCTGCAGAATTTCTACTCTTAGACATAAGAGACTCAACAGTTCTCAACAAATAAGCTAAGATGGAACAAGAAATCTTTACCCAAATATTTGTAGTAAGCCAATGAGACTATATATATAAATAAAACTGGTTTTATTTCACACTGTCACTGAGAAGTGCAGTACTGTTTAATTCTAACAGTATTCTTTACATTTTTGCTCTGTGCATGCAGAACCATACAGACTTAAGAAGCATGAACAGCTAAGCAAAGACTCAAGTGTACAGTCAAAGTGTTCCGTGAACTTTTATTTCACCTCTCAAAAAAGTGAGAGAACAAGCAGCAGATGTCCTACTGCCTTCACAATCTCAACTATAGAATTTGACACATGGAAGAAGACAGGGGTAGAATAACAGCCATTTTAATTTACAATTCAGTGTTACCCCTCACAGCAAATACTTCCCCTCTCCACCTTCAGTGAAGACTAAGGAAGGTTATGCAATATTCTTGTGGACAGAGTAATATACTTCTTCCTCCACCTCCATTATGCTATCATAAAATGTCAACTCACAGTTCTATAAGAGCATTTCACATCTATATGAAGACTTATTCTGAATATACTTGTCATTTGTGTCATACTGCACCTTTAAAATTAACAAAGTTAATTACCGTGCGATTATTAAAGGCTATTTACACAGCCAAGGAATTTCTTTCTACTTATAATCTAAAAATTTGTAAAAAAATAACCACCACATATTTCAAGTACCAATCACTGTACCTTGCACGCTTGGAAAACCCATTCTTGAGGTCCTTCTGTACGTAGTTTCTGAATATACTGAAACATATGCAAAATAATATCTTCAACATGCACTGGAAAGAAAATGTACCTGTTTAATAATTCACTCGATTCTGCACAAAGAAAAAATTCTGATGAACACAAACACGTAGGGTTTTCTTTTCAATTACACCCTGATACATCAAGATATTTAACTACACATGCAATCCTACTGGCAAAGTTAAATGTGTTTCTCTCAAACATGAATAAGATAAGTGTTTAGGTCCCCAGCTAATTCTGAGAACTGAAGTGAACGTGTGTTGTGTTAAGATATTGATTTATAATACAATTTAACCCCAGTCTAAATAGCATGAATGAGTAGCACACAAGGGTATTAACAGCTTTTCCTTTAAAGATATTTACTTTAAATATTTAATGAAATATTTTTATATAATCTCAAATAAGCTGGTTTCTTATATTAGATGAAGTGTGTTAGCACACTGAGAGGATCTAAACACAGAAGAATAACCAGTTAATTAAAATAAATTGGCTTTCAAGCTGTAAACACATTAGTCTCTTTGGATACAAACACAAACCCATCACATCAGGAATAACACGGAATGCAGACACAGTGCTTAACTTACAAAGTCCTTCCTCTGTCAAGTCCACATTAATGATGAAAAACATGAAACCTCTAGCACCTTCCTCCTGTCCTCCAACAAGAGTATTTACCCATCCTATGAAATCAACAAGAAAATATATACATAAACAAATCTGTTACAATTTATGTTACTTTTTATATGCTTCAGCAACTTCTTTTTTTTCTCTTTTTTAACATTTTGATCACTTAACATGTTTTCCTTCTCTTCCTTAATGCCTACAGCAACAGTGCAAGTTAAACATAACACAAGTCAGACACATCTGGTTTTGTGCTCAGATATATCAAAGTCAAAGCCATTTGGTTACTGGGTAATTTATTTCTGTTGGGAACACAGTAACATAAAGAAAAATTGCAAAAAATACACTCTTATAGTACACTCATAGGAGTCTAAGTCAGTGACTGAATACAGACAGGATCATTATGTCAAAGTTCATGTAACTCTCTAAATAAGGGTAAATAAAAGGGGAGTTCAAGAAATAATATCTTCAGTAGTCAGATTGCTTGTTATTTATTTATTTTAACCCACTACAGAAACAAAAATTAAGCACAAAATGACTTACAACTCAAATTACTCAAACAGTTGGGGACTTTAACAGAGGTCAATTTTAAGTGAAACATAGCTAAGCTTTAAAGAATTGTGTAATAAATTACCTTTTAATTCTTTATCTTCAAAAGTCTTACCTTTGGCTTTAAGCTCTGATAAAAGACTCCCTGGGCCCTCATGCTCAATCAGATGACCAAGGTAATGGCCAGGGTTTGATTTATAGTACTTCTGAAGGTCTGGTATAGGAAATGTGACGTAAAGATTTCTAATGTCCTTAATGGGTACCACTTTGTAAAGTTGCTGAGAGGGGGAAAATGAGTAAGGAGATCCATAAAGAAAAGGAAACTCATTATTTTATTAATTTCAGGAGCACATATCATGTTCCCTTCACACACACATACTTTATTACAAACGTATCAACAAAATCTCAGAAGTAAAGGTACGTAAAACTGAGGGCAACACTTCAGCTATTCATGATGCAAACAGGAAGAGAATCAATTATCTCTCAGTTGCTTACAGCTGCAACCAAATGTACAACCTTTATAATAAACTATACAAAACTATACTATACTCAGCATGGAAAGGTGGGTGGAAAATTAAGAAAGAAATACAAACTTAACAGGAACACTGATACAATGTAGTGAAGTGCACAACGTACTACTGAAACATTAAAAAAAAAAAAAAATCATTTAAGGTATACACTCCTGATGTACCTCTATACGTACCCGGAGATGTTCTTCTTGGAAAAGTTGTTCAGGAAACTCTGGTATAGGGACATTTTTATTCTCTACTTCTGAAAATAACTTTACCACTAAGCAAGTTAGCTCATCCAAGGATTCTAGTATAAAGAAACATTAGAAAAAGCATAATCATTATCTGAAGATTCTGGCAAAACTGGATTTTGTATATTCTTTAGGGGATACATCAATTATACAGAAAAGTAGTTTCAGTGGTATGATAATTATTAATTTCAGAAAGGAAATCTATATTAATACTTGAGTTTTGAACTATAATGTGTTATACGCACCATGCTTATTAAAGAAAAGCTTCAACCATGATTAAAATAAAACCCATAACCAAAAAAAAAAAATCTTTAAATTTTACTGATGAGTCTAAGATGGAACTGAAGAAAAGACACATTAGATACTGAGAATTTACAAAAACAAACATTCCACAAAAAGCTTAAGGGACATGGAAATAAAGCTGAAAATTTTCCTGAGTGGAAGCATCTTTGCCAAAATTTTATTTTATTCAGCATCAGCTCACCTCCAGTACTTCACGTGCACTGTGAGCCAAGGTCATCTGTCCTCAGTGCCCCAAAATTTCACACATATCTGTGAGCTATTTAAGCACTTCTACTTGTACATCCATTCTGTTTCAGTCTGTGACTCTAGTACTCTCCAAAAATGAGAGGAAGACCATTTGCAGAAAGAGTTTCACGTTGTGCATAAATTCACCTAAATTGACCTATACCATTTCTATTGAAATACTGCCTTCAAATTAGGTATCTGCTTAAAGAAATACATATTGCAACACTTCTCAAAGTGAGAATAAGGTAAGAAAGACTCATCCATCAATTTTTTAGCATATGCCTTTCAAGGGTGGGCGTTGAAGGAAAAACTAGGCATTTCTTGCATGTCTCAAAGTACAACTATAATCCTCAAAAGATTTCAAAAAGTGGTCACCTTGTTAGTCAAAACAATCCCAGTTAGATTTAGAAAGCAGAATCTTTCCTTCCCAACATATGTGGGCTCCTACACTACACTGAGAGAACCATGCAGGGAAAAAAAAAAAAAAAATGCAAACCAAGATGGGTCACTGTATAATAAAATTTTGTGAACCGCGTGTAATTGTATTAGACACCACTATTTTTATCCACATCAGCAAAATACACATTCATTTAAGCTTTACAGCTACAGTGAGAGTTTTCTTTAGGACAGATTTCCAGCTGCCAGGGTGACTCTGAAATAATTTCCATTTAAAAGCCTATAAGTGAACAACTGTATTAAAGCTCTGCTTTTGATTAGATAAAAAAATTATTTGAATTTCATTATTTAATTCCAGCAAACTTCTGAATATTTATTACTGTTTACTAGAGAAATTATATTCTGATTCCCCCACCACTTTGTACTGACATACATTTTTATTTGTTTTACACTACATATATGAAGTGGTAGGAAAAATCAGAGAATTACTACGCTGCACATAGTTTTAGACATCCATTTATTTCAGAATGCACATGAGTAGAGAGATCATGTTGAATTTCACACTGCAGGTCCCACATATTTCTAACTATTTATGTATTAATTAGCCATACTGTTACATTGAGAGCAAGGTATTTCAGCAAAGCATTTATAGAATAATGCTAACAAGATTTGGTTTCTGCAGCTTGCTTTCTATGGGTGGAGCTCCATGAAAATAAAAATAAAAAAAAAAAAAAAAAGGAGGAAGAACATGGAACTTGGAAATGTTCAAATTTGATGCTAGAGGCAAGCCCTCAAATACCCAAATTGGTCATTAATGTAAATGTAAAACCTTCCAGAAAGCAATTGCATAATTCTCCTGCTTAAACAAATAACAAAGTGAGAAAAGATATGTCTTTGTTGTATACATGCAGACTATCAAAAAGCCTGGGAGTTACCTTTCAAATTTTTATTTATTTATTTTGTAAGATTGAAAGGAAAAATCCCAAAGATCTATGTTTCAAAGGCTCCTAATTTTTCTCAATACCGAACTGTTTACAAGGGCAACTCACACTGAAAGAATTTAACTGTGGAAAATGACTAGTAAAACAATCTAAATTCAGGATTTCAACAAGAAGAATTTTTGTATTTTATAGTAAAAAAAACATAAATATGTCAAAATTGAAGAAATTTTTGAAAAGTAACAGATTTGAAGACCGTTTTCTACATTTTATTGGTATTTGAAATGCAGATCTTGTTTGTCCTGGAATACTGTTTGTCCATTAAAGAACTAAAGATACCAGGAAACCTTGAAAACAGAACTGTTAAATAGGGAAGAGAATTTTAATTCAATTGCTTTAAACTCTGATCAATATCTATTTACCTTCAAATAATAAAATATTTTTAAAGAAAATAGTTTATTTTTTTTAAACTTTGCTCAGGTTAAATGAACAGGAAAAAAACCCTGAGAATGGCTAAGCACCTCTTTTAAATAGCGATAAAAATATATTCACAATATTAAAAAATATTTAGAAGCTATCTTCATCAATACCATATTGTTTATTTGCAGAAAGTTTCCACTGCTACCAAGAGAATAAGCAAGGCATTTTCATGAATGACATACATCTACATAAAGCCCGAGTGATATTACCTACATACCTACTACCAGAATATCTGATACGTCCATCTTTAAAAAAAAAAATTTTTTTTCAAATTAAGTACATTTTACTGTTCAGCTTGCAACAGTGGAAAAAAAAAGAAAACAAAAAACCTTTCACCATATTCCAATCAATATGTGATTTTACAGCATGTGAGAGATAAAAATAAATGCAACTGAAAGGAATTAGGGAGCCTGGAACTGATCCAGTAGTGAGTATATGAAAAAAACTTGGATTCAGTTAAGAAGTACAATCCTCATTGTGTTTGCCCACCTTAAAAATCTACAAGAAAACGTGATTCATGTATATGCTATGATTGAAGTTAAACAGGTACGGTTTTTTTAATCTTCATACTCAGCATTCTGTAAACAGATAACTGTAAAGGAAGATTTCACTCTGCTAATGAATTTTATTCCATTCATACTCACCATTTGACCATTACTGTAAAACAACATACAAATACTAGTCTGCCAGCATATTTTCGAAAAGCAAACAGTTTTCAACACAGTTATTAAGCTTTTGGCAAATCCATGTAAAATATCATCTCAACGGTGGAAGATTTTAAGCAGTTGGAACATCTGTTAAGTTAATTCAGATGTAAACTGAAGTAAAGGCTTTTTATCTAAATGTTAGGTTAGGCTTAGCCTTTGATAATACAGAAATTTTTGTAGTGGAACAGTAACTCCAAAATATTAAAACAGCAGTTTTAGTTTCTACCCCTTCTGTAGATCTTCATTTTCTTTAAACATAATTACATGTAAAGTCTTACTCAACCAACAGAACAAAACTCACCTCTTCCTAAGACACAGATAGCCATTAAATTTGATGAATAATAAGTAGAATGGAACTTCAATAGCTCTTGTCTTACATCTATTCCTTCTTTGGTTGGTCTAGTTTCCAGAGTTTGTTCCCTGTAACATAAATAAAAAGTTAACAATAGTTGATGTTTATGAATTTACAAATCAAAAAGAAAAATATTAATTAATAAATCTGCTTTCCTCCAGATGGATAGTAATTTTAAAAATAATTACTATCCATAATAAGTAAACTGGATCAATACTCTCTCAGCTTATTAGAGACAATAAATACTTCCACACTCTATCTGCACATTCCTAAAAAACTGAGGATGTTTTAGTCTTTGAAATTAATCTTTTTTAATTTAAATGGTTTATTTCAAAGCAATCCAAGTTAACCCAGGCTCTTATTCAGAAGAATAATTTCTCTGCACATTCGGAGTAGGTTTTACTCCCATATACACACTCCTGTCATAGGAAATTATTTGTGGCATTGTGTGCCACAAACTATAGTCTAGTATATTAAATGAAATAAAGAACTGCTAACTTACAAATATGATTTGTAAACTGTGACTGTTCAGCTTCTGCTTCACAAATACCTGAGCTGTTGCTGCAGTAGAGATACACAACTAGAGAGGAAGAGGACTACAACTCTCCCTGAATAAGCCCATAAGCAGAAGATACCAAACTTTCTCATTTAAGTTATTCTGTTAATTAGTGCAATCTTTACCTCAACATCAAGCTTTCAATAATTTTCTCTAAAGACATACTCTATATTTATACTCAAAGCAGAACTTGTGTTTAGTAAAGGCAAGAACTTGAAACAACAGCAAAATTAGAGTCTACAAAGAGCACAGTAGATTTTAATCAATTCCATTTCCCATTACTACACACACACACAAAATGGTCAACAGAATCTACAGATCAGAACTGCAACCCAATACTCTGTTATCTTCGAGATCAGTAACTCCCTTAACTAACAACCAGACCCAGGTACAGTAGAGAGCAAGAGACAAGGAGGAAAAGAATAAGGCAGGAAAATTCAGCAGAAAAGTTGACTCGTGTGTTTATAGGAAAAACAGCAAGAAAGAGAGAAAATATAGGGAAAGCATGCCTGATATGCATATATACACAGTGCACAAATCCTACAATTACAGATATAATACGAATCAGTGAGGCAAAATTAGCTACATAAATAAGACTAGTGTATTGTCCAGATGTTTGGTGATTAGATACAAGTCTAATTACAACCACAACAGTCAACAAATCATCATAGAGAGGCTGCCTGAAGCAATATATTGCTTTAATTTTCAAAGTTCACATGTGAGTAAAATCAACAATTCTTAATGACACCTAAAAAGGATAATTAGGGTATCATGTTTAAAATATTTTGTCTATATTCATCACCATCTGCACACAAATGAAATGCAGAAGTTTTAGATACCCTACTGTGTGTTTTCCCACAGAAACAATAGAGGATAAAATAAAATATAAAATATAAAATAAAAGGACAAAGCTTTAATTCAGTAACTGTGCTGTACTGGAGTACATTAAGAGGTAACAGTCAGAAGATACCTTGTAGATGTAGGAAAATGAACACTAGACAGTATAAAATTTCCTGGAGAAAGTATTTGTACTTGACACTGTTGAAGGTACTGATGGAGAAGAATTATCATCACAGGCATTAACTCAGGGAGATGGGTGAAGGGTATCTGGCAGCAAAATGTACATTCCAACAAGAAAAATGGAAAATTAAGGTGCATTTGTTTCTCTGGACAAAGGGTAATTGAAGGTTTGCTGGAAAAACAGGCTACACAGCAATGAGGAGTGACATCAAATTGATCCATTCCTGTATTCTGCTAGACTAACAGCTGGTCAAAAGGAAATAATAAGAAGGATATCAGCTTCAAATGTCATGAAAAATGTATCACAGTTGTCATCTCTTTGGGTAAATAAAAACCATTAAAGCTGGGCTCTACTTCTGCAAAGTCAGATCTACAGGAAGACTATGTGCTACTTCAGAATCAGAGTCTGATCTAAGAAAGGTGAGTATGACTACTGCCACTGAATTTGAGCACATTTCAGCTATTTTACCCATGAAAATGTTTCACTTGTGTCAGCTATAAAGCCTTCTTAAGTTGTGGAAAACTCTTTCTGCAACTTTTACTTACATTTTCTGATTGTTATATAAAAATTAAATAATCTCTTCAGTAGCAGAGATTGCAGAATGTACTTTGGATGTTTGCCTACCTATCAATATGTAGTTCCCGAGACTTTATTTTCAAATTTACCTGTCTGGAGAATGCACTTACAGTTTCCCTGTTTCAGACAGTCTCTCTTTACTGGTGAACAGAGCAATACATGCTCTTGAAGCAGCTGGCTACCAGCACCTCAACTATGCATCAACAGGTGCAAAAATATTCTTCTCTTTCTTGAGATGGAGGAGGAAACCAGTCCTTAAAGCCCATTATCCGCTTTTCCATCATCCCATTGTATCCAAAATTTGCCTCAACTGTTCATCCAGCAAACTGACCCAGCCACAAAACACATCGATGCTCAAAGATTAAACAATGCAGTGCATGAATTAATAGCCCTGTTACTTTGATAGTTTCAAAAATAAATTAATGTAGAAAAAAAACTTCTACCAAAAAAACCCCGAAACATTTAAACTTCTACCAAAGTATCAAACATTTGTTGTTTTGACCATAACTATCATACCTTATTTTAATGTTTTTTAATTTGAGGTTTTGAGGTGTTCATGTCAAATTGGTACTAAACATTCTGTGAAAAATAAAGTCTGAAAAAACCTACAGCCTAAAATTGGGATTTGTCCAAGATCATTTTATCTATCCATCTACTACTGTTGTGTTTTATGCTTAAGATTTTGCTTTTATACTCTTATTCAGTAATTTTCATACTACTCTGCTGATCTTTCTGATTCCACCTAGTCACTGTCATCTAGTCCTAATGCAACACTAGTTAGCAAAAAGAGCATGTGGCTAACAACAATTTAAACATTGTCCATTCACTTTGTTATGCATGAAGACTTAAGAGTACCAAATTATGATGAATCCAGTAATTGGAAAACAGCCTTCACTGCAGTAATTATCAAAATCATAAAGGATGCTTCATCACTGTACTGCAAGTCTTGGATCACTTTGTTTACTATGTTTTTGTCTAGCCGTGTTTGGTCTTCCACGTGGAAAATGTGATAAAGCACCATAAGAAATGTGTATGGAGAGGAAAATAAGGGAATTGTTTCAGTCTGTCCTTAACAACCTTATATAAACAATAATACTATGTATGTTACACAGAACTCCAATGGATAATTATATTCTGACAAACCTGTTCCAAATTTACTGAAAGGATGATTGGGGTTTCCAGTAGCCTTCTCCAATTGAAACAACCTCCAGGCATCATTCATCAGATTCTTCTCATGCTCAGAATCAACAGCATTCACTTCCCTGTCTTTGCAGCTTTCATCAAACAAAGGCCACAGGAAAAACTGGGCAAATCTAAACAGAAGAATTTTAATTCAAGTCAAGAGTACTGTATATAAATGGTTACAGAAAATTACGAAGCTTGGTAGCTCCTGAAAACAGGTGAATATATTATTTTCTTAATGCAGAACTTAGAAATTCTGTGACAGTTTTGACACTGATTCACTCTATTTCTCAATGTCTTTATCTATAAATGCAGACAACAACATATCTATCATATAAGGTATAAGAATCAAGGATCTTGCATCATAATTCATATACTGAAAATTTCTAATGCTTTGAAGTTTAGTTGCAAGAGGCTCATAAACTCAGAAATCAAATCAGTCTTGTCAGACATCCAGAGAAAATCCAAAGGGAAAATCCACTCTTGATCTCACTGACTACGCATCTTTCAATTTCTGTCCCCCCCCCCCAAAAAGCCAGAGATTTCAGTGAGTTGCTTTTACTAAAAGCATCCTAGTATATTTTTAGACTTCATCCTTCTGTTGCTATTAATGAAGTAAGGACCCTATGAGAAGCATAGTATTTGATTATGCAGTCAGAGTATTTGCATAATGCATAAGTTCACGATCATATTCTGTGCCTCACATTTCCAAGAATATTCAGTGTAAACACAACCTTTTAACTTAAAAAAATCTGCCTCAGTGAAGAACTCTGCTAGTTGAAAAGATCTGAGTAAAATTTTTGAACTGAAAAATATCTGGTATTAGTTTTAACAAAAGACAGTGTGCTCTCAACCCTTTCTTTAATATCATAATGTTAAAACTATCGAAAATCATTTACACCATAACACCTATATAACAAAAAATTAAATATAGAAGAGTTTACCTGTCTAGTGCTCCTTCTAGATGTTCATGTGACACATCGAAGTAACAGTTGGTATGTCCTCCACTCGTGAAAGCATTTGAGCTCCCAGCATGTTCACTAAGGAATTGGCTATACTCATTCTCTTTTGGATATTTCTTGGTTCCCAGGAACAGCATATGCTCACAAAAATGACTAAGCCCAGCAATGTTGGGGCGATCAGACAAGGATCCTGCAGGAAGAAAAACTTCACGTAAGCATTCATAAAAAGTAATACTAAATTGTTAAGTCTTTTAAAGTGCTTTACATTACAGTATGTTGCCTCAGGCTATTATATCAATTCTGTATATGTAAGCAGACACTTGTGCAACTATCATCAACTAAACTCAATCTTAAAAAAAAAAAAAAAAAAAAATTAGGATGAGTAGCTGAACCAATTGTGGTCTCAGATTGCCTCTCCAAATAAGCCTGCATTGCCTTATCGAGACAATTTTTCAACTGAAGTCCATGACTCATAATCTGTAAAGACCTGGCAGATCACAATGTTCTGACTTCCATACCTTGACTTTAATAACTGCACTGTGCTAAAAGGCAGCAACTGCCAACCACAATTAAGGGGGTATTTATCCTGTGGTTTATAGGACAAGCAATAACCTGTAATTGCCTGAACACAAGCAGCTATTGGTGACCAGCTAGAAGGTGTGAAGGCAGACAGATTAAATGGCAATAACAATGTGCAAGAACAGAAGCCAGAAATATGGAAGTTTGAGTCTGGCAGTCCTGCTCTGGAATGTGCAATGATGCGCAATGGGGGAGTAGAGATGAAGGCAACAGATACATCTTCTCCAATACACGTGCAGGAACTGGATGCTGCAGTTCACTATTACTGTCATAGTACCTAATGAAACCACATCTGGGTTCCTCTGAACCAGATAGTGATTCATGACAGCCATCTCCATTAATAAAAAAAAGCTAGAAGTTTTCAAAGTTACCCTACTACTTCTGTCCTAACACCAACAGCACCGAGTGCTCCAAACTACAAACATGGCAAGAGGATGCTTAAGGTAATGAGTGAGGATGCTTAGGTAATGTGTGCGTGCATCATACTTTCCAAGCAACCGAGAAACTAAACAAGCTTCAGAAATACTCCAAATATAAGAGAAGGTTTCCATTATTCCAAAGACTTAAAGTAACTGCCTTGCCCCTCTATTTCCAGTATTTCTGTTTGCACACTTAAGCATCACTGGAGTTAGGGAGTGCCTTTCCAGCTCCTCCAGCACTACAGCATTTTCTCATCTCTACACATCAACAACTTAACATGAAAAAAAGAAAAGTCTGACATGACAGATGGAGCTGTCTGAAATAATTGCACTCACACCCGCCCCTTTTTTGCTTACGACAGATCTTTCGTAACACGAAACTTAATCGTTAAAAGAAGTCTTTCTACTGACTGAGCTACACTTGAGTAAACACATAGAAAATAAAATAATTTAATTAGCTCTAATAATTTTCAACCTGATGTGCCAAAGAATTAAACAAACTTTAAATTACAATAAAAGGCTAGGCTGACAACTGGATAGAACTCCCATCAGTTTATTTGCAATAATGATACCAAAACTTATTTTTATTAATGACATACTGAACAGAGCATGCATTAAATACCTGTGTGCACATCAAGCGCTGCTGAAGATTTATCTGTGGTGGGGTAACTAATGAGAAGAGCTTTGATGCCATTTGCCAATTCCAGTCCACGATATTCTCGTTTATCCTCAGGTGATTTGATAATTTCGTTTGTTATTCTCTTAATAGCTGGATTGTTCATTTTGTTGTTTGTCTCTTTCTGAAATCTTAAAGAAAATAGAAGAAATTTCACTTACTATTTTCACTGAAGCCCTGCTAATATTTTTATATTATGTTAGAGAATACTGGCCAATACTGACAAAAAGAAATCTAGTTCTGCACAAAACTCCAAAGACTGGCCTAAAAGTATAGTTCAGATCCCAAGAGATACTGCTGTTAAAACAAAAAAAAAAAAAAACCAAAGGCCAAGCAACATGATAAAATTGTAGATCATGTAATTGAATGTTTCAAGTTTCATACTAAGTAATTAAAAAAAAAAAAACGAAAACTTAGTAAAGAAATATCATCCCCCCTATTCAATTATGATAAATATTAAATTAAATTAAGCATACATTGCTATCTCAAGCATACTTTCAGGTTTCAGGAAAGTATTTCATGTGTCTGAACTTGTGTTTATATTATGAATGTTGTAACTTTGCAGCTGTCAGATAACATTTTACTAATAAACCACTGGATTTGTACACTCAAGCAATAAAGAGTGACACCATTTACAATATTGCCATAAAAAATACAAACACACTGCAGAATTGCCATGATAAACAGCAATAGTCTGTGTCACGTTTAAAATTCTACTATTAGTTTAACAGACATACTAAGAAACATGCTTCCTTAATGGCAAAATTTTGAAATGCTAAGAAACTAAATGCAATTCTGAAACTATAAACTCTGGTTATTCAATTACTTTACATGTCAAGTGAGAAGGTTAAGTGATTCAGCCTTGGACATTTGGGGAGGTGGAGTGGAACCACTTGGCTGCATGTTAAAAAAAAAACAACCAAACAAAAAAATACCAACACAAAAGAAACCCAAACAACATCCATGCACACACAGAGGAAAAAAGCAAACCCAGCAAACCCCAGAAACAGGAAATTGGAGTGCTCTGCTCTGAGCCAATCACGCAGTGTGTGCCTGTCTGTAAGAGCCACTGAAATCTAACCCTGTTTACAGGAAGGGTTTTAGAACAGGGCCTGTTATGAATATACAGTACCAACCAAACTCAGTATTTTCCTGCAGTAAAATGTTGCTTGTCACATTGCCAAGTAACTTACTATATGAGCTTCATTAGTTGTTGCTGAATTGATTTCACTTACAAAGAAAACCAGATCTAAATCTAACTCCCCACCACAATACATACGTAGAGGCATAAGCAATTCTGTACATTTGTTTCGGTATCACACATATAACAAGGAGTTTCACAATATTTACTTTTCCGTTTTCAGGTTGTACAGTTGAAGGAACATCATCCAAGTTTTAAGACTATATACAAGCTTTAAGACTGTATGGGATGTGGAACATAAAGGACTGCACAGTCCTCAACATACTTATTCTTTCAGGTCTTCAGTAATGACATTTTAACTAACCCTCTGGCTAGCCAATCAACTGCATACTCGATGTTACCAGATATACAACAAAAAACTTTGGAAATGAAAATCTGATTATAGATTTTATTTACAGTTTACAATCACAAATGAAAAAGTCAGCTAATAAAATCTCCTCCCTAAAATACTGTGTCATTCTCAAAACTGGAAGCAGTTCTGCAAGCTACTGTAGCTCTGGATTACCTCCTTCCCATTTATTCACATGATTCTACGGTATAAAAACAACAACCAACTTGAAGGCAGCAGATGTACAGAGATCACTGTTGGTGTTATATACTATAGTGAGGCTGATAAAGAGCGCATTATTAACAATATGTTAAGGATATAAAGCTTATGAAGATAATATCTACAGTAGAATTAGTGAAAAACAGTGTTTCACAAACAGAAAATTAAGATTTTCCCTACAGTTGAGTGAAAGTTTGTACAAGACTGGATTTATGCTTGAGGAAGGAGATACATAAGTAAAGATAGGAGAATATATTGTTAAAAAAATCAGGAAAGTAAGCATTAGATCCTTGAATACTTTTGAAAGAAGTAAAGAAAGAAGTTTACTTTGGAACTTTTATATAGACCTAAATTATAATGTGCCCTTGTATGAAAGAAAGCAAATGACAAACAGGAATTATAATCCAAATTAAAAAAAATAGAAGCACTGAGTACAGAAAGCATTAATGAATAATCAGAATATGAATGTCTCTAAGCAAGCACCATAAACAACATGAAGTAACTTTTTTAAAAGTGCAGCTCAGTACATTTTAGAAGGAAATACTTCCACTAGCAAAACATGGTTCTCACACTATGAATTACTTTTTTAAAAAGTGCAGTTGAACATAATTACTAAACAGTAACTGAAATGCTGAATTTAAATTTAAATATCTACACTCTCATTTAAACCTGTCATTTATCCACTAGTTTAACCCTGTACTCAGGCTAACCCTGCTTGGAATATCTATGGGCTTCCTTCCTCTGAAAAAAAATGTAGATAACATTCAAAAAAAAAGTACAGCAAGTACAGCAACATCTATGTTTCTCTGTATCAACAGCACTGATATAATTTATGTTTATGATTTTAAAAATGCTCCTTGATCAGAGTCCTGAGTAGAAATCATCATCTAGAATCATAGAATGGTTTGGGTTGGAAGGGGCCTTAAAGATCACCCAGTTCCAACTCCCCTGCCATGGGCAGGGACACCTTCCCCCAGCCCAGGGGGCTCCCAGCCCCGTCCACCCTGGCCTTGAACCCTTCCAGGGAGGGGACAGCCACAGCTGCTCTGGGCACCCTGGGCCAGTGCCTCGCCACCCTCACAGTAAAGAATTTCTTCCTTATATCTAGTCTAAATCTACCCTCTTTCAGTTTAAAACCGTTACCCTTCATCCTATCACTACACTCCCCGATAAAGAGTCCCTCCCCACCTTTCCTGTACCCCCCTTTAAGCACTGGCAGGCCGCTATAAGGTCTCCCTTCTCTTCTCCAGGCTGAACACCCCCAACTCTCTCAGCCTGTCCTCATAAGGGAGGTGCTCCAGCCTCCTGAGCATCTTCATGGTCCTCCTCTGGACCTGCTCAAGCAGCTCCATGTCCTTCTTATGTTGGGGGCCACAGAGCTGGACACAGCACTGCAGGTGGGGTCTCATAAGAGTAGGGCAGAGAGGGAGAGTCACCTCTCTCGACCTGCTAGCCAGGATATTCTACTAAATTTCGATGCTGTGTAAAATTTATGAAGTGAGAATAGATACTACTTTTCACAGATGAAAATCAGTAACTAAACTGTTCTTAATTGCATTTCACTTGCACACAATTCTATTGGGTTGACAAATGTAAGTATTAAGGAGACCAAGTAGGTGTCTCAATCTCCTGATTTCACCTCTGCTAAGAACACCTATCACTTGGTTTCCAGCTAAAATATTCCATCTCGTAAAGATACTAGTTGCTTATCACAAAATGCATATATACTATAAACGTCTCAAGGGTTTTTTTTTTAAATGTTATACAATTACCTTGTCATCTGATATCTCCTTGTTATTTCTACACCACATCATTAAGTCACAGAACTTCACTGTTTGTTCAGATGACTCATCTTTCCAACGTGATTCACCAAATTATGCAGATTCTGTGAAATCTTATGAGATTTCAATTGATGTCTTGTGAAGCTGTACACCTCTACTTCATTTTACTATCATTCCCTACTTCTGCTTCCTTCATAGGCTACCTCTGGCTTGGTAGTCAAATTTCAGTACAGGAAAAATCTATCCTTTTCAAAAGGTCAAAATCAGTAACTAAGCCTTCAAACCGAGGACTTAAATGTGTATCTCCGTCTTGTTATTTCAATGGGTATTGTGAATACAATATTCTTTACAACTTCAAATGGGTTTGCATGATTAACCCACAATAACTTCCCTGCAATCTAAATTGCAGTACCAGACAACTCATATAAAAGCAAGAGCAGATCAACTATGCAATAGTCCTGTAAGGCAACAAGTCAAAAGAACAAGACCAATACCTTTCTGCCTAAGTACCATTCCTCCTGGTGCTATGTTACTATAATACAATAGCTAGAAAAGAAAATTTCACTTCTGTATTTATACAATGACTTTTTCTTAAGGAGTAAACTGTAAGATATAATATTTAATATTCCCTCATATGACTGCTTTTCTGTGCAACTTTGAAGTTCTCTAAGTGCAGTTGCTTTATAACAATACCGTGTTCCATTCTTTCACACAAGAATCCTAAAACACTACAAACTACTTTTTGACAATAGAACTGTTTTTGAGCAGAGGAAAAAAAGTTACAGAAATGGAAATAATTCTGTATTTCTTGTGGGTTTTTGAGAAGTAGCTTAATTCCTAAAGTCATGTTCAGACACCACCCTGAAGTACACGTGCTGTATCTACTTCCTATGCTGTCATTATAGTGAACATTGGATGATGATGATCAGTAGAAAAGAAACTTATCCACAAATTAGATGCTATGTTTATTGCAGAGCTAATATCCTAACAAAAATGTCATTAAAAGAACCAAACAGAAGCAACAGACAAAGACCCAATAAAGCAAAGACAGCAGGAACAAATACAGATCATTACTGTGGCACTGTGAATTCTTTCACTGCCGCAAAAATTACAGGTGGCAAGATGACAGAACTTGAAAGAAAAAGAAAAAAGAATGAGAATGTCTGAACTTCGAGCAGTGTTCCTATTCATTGACTAGGGAATACTAAACATTCTTCCTCCTCCTCAAAATTACTTCACTTGTACAAGAACAGTTTCGGTTAAAACAGATGCTGAATTTTAAACTATAGCCCCCTGAAGTGAAATTATATTCTATTTTTTGAGGCCCCGTTTTTGTAACAATTTCCAGGCAGGCAGTCCATTGGAAACAGCCAGGCTCTCTAGGGATGCCAGGTTCCTCCACCTGCAAACAGAGTATTATATAGTGGGATTAAGTGATATATGATTCTGCCTAACTATTGTAATCTTTCAAAGTAATTTTAGTAAACTTAATTAAAAATTAGCCAGTGTAGTCAAATCTAAGTTCAATGTTTGAACAATTAAAGCACCATATTTGAAAACTAATTAACAGCAACTCC